CTAGGATTAAGAACCTTATCACCAACTCTGACACTGGTTAAATTCTGCATCTGAGGGCATGTCTGTTGAGCTTAGTAATAACCAAACATGCATCGTTTCACAACCCCTAGTAATCAATGTTTCTCAGCAGTATTCGCTTAAGTGCTTACCTTCAAGTGCATTTTGTTATTCGAAATTCTCGAGAACTTAATCTCATTCAGAAATTCAAGAGTATGGAGATTGTGAAGAGAGCCATATCTCTTGCAAGCGGTGTCCAAACTGAAATAGGTCCTTTTCTTGAAAGAGGTTAATGAGCTCATGTACTCATTCACAGACTCAACGACATCAACTATGGGAGCGAGTATCGCTTTGTCTTTCAGATAACTAAGGTCATCACCAGAACTCCTGAACATTGGGTAGCTACTCTCAATAATAGTAGCAGTAGGATCTCCTTGTGATTTTAGAAGAATATCATCAATGATCTCCATATAGGCACAATAGTTGTTCGATCTACCAAATGTACCATCGCAAATGCGAGCAAACCAGACTAAGAATCGCTTCATCTCATTGTACTCATCACCGCCACCAAGGCTTCGAAGCCTCATATTCTTCGTAAGTCTCAAAACGGTACAATCCCGCCACAACTTGGATGAATAGTGGCATTCACTATGTCGCTACGACTGCCTTTAGGGACAATGGGCAATACCAGTCTAAAATTCCCACAAAAAAAAAAATAGACTTGCCCCTAAATAGGAGATTTTTCCTTGATGGGTCCACTACCTCCATTAAGACTCGCAAGGTAGTGTCGACCACCTGAAAGTAATACTTATTCATCATCGGCCTTTCATCCCAAATGATTAACTGACACCGTATAATCAATTATGGTAAAGGACTTTGCTGACTAATGTCACACGAAGAACCTTTCCACCAGGTTTAGGGGGATTCTGAACTGAGAATGCACAGTGCATCCACCAGGTACTGAAAGTGATGCGATACCGCTTGATGCAACATTCAACACTATTTCGCCCTTGGACCTCAAAGCAGATTTAGCGAATAATAATTAAAATTAAAAATGGAATATGAATGTAAACAATTAAATCAAGTATATTTTTTTACTAATAAAGCACAAAAAAATATTTAATCATTATACCTTCATCGAAAGAGTTTCATCGACAAAATTATAAGATGACAACCCACAAATCATGGGGAGAGGAATGGTTCTAGGCATCAAGTATAATGTCTACAAATCATTCCCATAGTGTGGAAGTTCATTGGCAGCCACTAAACAATACAAATTAAAGATAAAAGTAAAATTTATATGACAAAAAAATAATATACACGATAAATCACAAAAAATTATGAAAGTGAACTTACTCAACACCCTCTATAAGAACTTCGATAAACCTATTTTCGACACCTTTCGACATTGTTGTTCGTACGAGAACTTCGATAAACCTATTGTTGACACCTTTCGACATTGTTGTTCGTACATTTTGGTACAAAACGACACGACCAATCATATCAACAAAACAATAACAATTCATATTTAGTTCGTAGCTAATTATTATCAATTATTACAAATGTAAAGAAATTTAAAAAAAAAAGTTATGTGGAATCAATGGTTTGTTGGTTGGATAGCTCGCTGATATTCTTGAAGCAAAACATAAGCTTTGGAAAATTTTCATTCACAATCTCGTACATTTCGTTCTCCTGATAAAAAACAAACTTATGACTTGATGCGGTTGTTTTGTACATACTTCGGTCGAACACAACTTAAAGTTTGCAATGCCCTAAACACGACCTTTGAGAAGTTGAAACTTCTCAAACGTTTCGGCCAAGCAACTGGGAGCTGAACCATTTATCCACTGGCCCTAACAGTAGAAAAATGTTGAAAAACATCAACTCAAATTCAAGCAGTTTATTGAAATTAAAATGAATAAGATAAAAAGATTTTAAAAAATTTAATACCTTCACATCGTGAAAAACAAACTCCAGCTCGCTGATTTAATCTTTTTTTCACCATAGAAATTCTCGCATAATTTCTCACCAAATGAAGTTTTGTTGTCTTGTTCTTGTGTTTTGCCAAGTATGTTAAATTGTCAAATTGAAATGCCATTTCTTAATGTGAAAAAAAAAATTGCGGAGATAATTTTTTTTAGGTTTGTCGTTTTTCTACTTGAATTGCAATGTAAGTTTGCATGAAAATTTTTGGTCTATTTATAAGGTATTTGAAAAAAAAAAATCCACTAATTCGGAAGTATAAATGTCCAATAATAAAGATTGATTGATTAATTATAGGAATTCGATAACTCAGATTTTTTTTTTTTAATTTGACCGCCTCAAAGCAGGAAAAAATGAAATTAATACCTTAGAATTGTTTTAATTGAACCCAAATTAAGGTTTACATTTTTTTTCTTAATGAAAATTGTGTACATTGATATTGATTCAGGCGACTTGTTTTAAAACTAAGTATGCACCTTCATAAATGTGCAAAAAATCATGCAATCTTAATATTGGTAACTTAAAAATTATAATAGGTTAGATGTTTTTATTATTAAAATAATCAAAGAGACTTAAGTTTTGCAACAATCATGTTGATGTTGATTTTTGAATATTTCTTGTTGTTTTTTCATACAATTTTATTGGGTACTATTAATGGAATATAGATTTTCTACTTTTTATTATTTCAGTTTTTTAACACAATGTTTTATTCTATGCTTATTTTTGTCTGTTATAATTTTTTCTTAATGAAAATTCTGTACATTGATATTGATTTAGGCCACATGTTTTATTACTGAATATTCACCTTCATAAATTTGCTAAAATCATGCAATCTTGATATTGGTAAATGAAAATCTATAATAGGTCTGATGTTTTTATTATTAAAAAAAAAGTCAATGAGACTTAATTTTTGAACTATCAATCATGCTATGTTGATATTTATAATATTTTTTGTTGCTTTTTCATACAATTTTAAAATGTGCTATAGATTTTCTGTTTTTTATGATTTCAATTTTTTAATACAATGTTATATTATATGCTGATTTTTGTATACATAAATTTTGCGTTAATTTTTTTTTTTAAACTTATCAATAATATTTTTAATAATTTTGCAGGAATAATTGGTTGAAGCACATCAGAAAATTATATTATATTGATGATTTCCAAATATATTGGCTTTTGTACCATGATATGTAATCATAAAGTTTGTTGTTGATAAATTTATTGTTATTGTTTTAAATTTTAGCTATTATTTTAGAGAAGTTACTGAAAGAAAAAAAATATTAAAAAATAAATGATAAAAAAATGTTAATTTAACCAATAACACTTCGCCACATCATATACACATGTGTGAATTTATGATAAAAAAAATAAACAAAACCAAAATATTATTGTGGTATTAAATGAAAAAAACTTACCATTTTGAGCCCAAATTTGGTTCCGTAGGGAAAAGTAGACTATCCGCATTAATTAGATATATATATATATATATATATATATATATATATTGATTCAAGAATTAATATTGTTAAGATAGGGTTTAGTTATTTTAGTCAGATATATTTGGTTTGATATTATCTTGATTTGGTAGTAGTTATTTTGGCAATTAGATATTTGATTTGATCTTGATTTGTTTTTTTATCTCTTGCAACATCTATATATTTGATGTAATTTCACTATTACGAGCAAATGGAAAATACACATCTTTCTCTTCTCTGCTCTATGCATTCTCTCTTAGTTTTAGCATGGTATCAGAGCCATGGTTTTTCACCACCGCTGTCCTGATTAACATATTTTTTCTTTTCTTTTTTTCAGTCATGCCTTCTTCTCTCCGGGCTGTTCTCCGGGCACGAAAAAAAAAAAAAGAAAAAAAAACTCTGGTTCTTAGATGATTAAATATAATTGATCAAAACCTTTGTCCCCTGTCCTTTTGTCCTTCATTTCTTTGGTCTTTCGGTCCTTTGGATATTAAATATAATTGATTAAGTCCTTTGTCCTCTGTCCTTTTGTCCTTCATTCTTTTGGTCCTTCGGTCCCTTGGATATTAAATGTAATTGATCAAGTCCTTTGTCCTCTGTCATTCAGTCCTTCAATCCTTCAGTCCTACGGTCCTTTAAATATTAAATACAATTGATCAAGTCCTTCGGACCTCTGTCCTTCGATCCTTCAATTATTCGGTCCACTTATCGCTCCTGATTACGTTTCTACCAAAGTTCAACTAGCAGACATCTTCACCAAAGCATTGGGTGGCCAGGATTTCTCGAAATTTCTAAGCAAGTTGGGCATTCGATATCTTCATGCACCAACTCGAGGGGGTGTTAAGATAGGATTTAGTTATTTTAGTCAAATATATTTGGTTTGATATGATCTTGATTTGGTAGTAGTTATTTTGGTAATTAGATATTTGATTTGATCTTGATTTGTTTTTTATCTCTTGCAACATCTATATATTTGATGTAATTTCACTATTACGAGCAAATGGAAAATACACATCTTTCTCTTCTCTACTCTATGCATTCTCTCTTAGTTTTAGCAAATATAATCATTTATTCTTGATTATTTAATTAATTGGAGAGCAAATGTTACACTTGGATTAAAGATAGAAGGGAAACACTACTTTGGTTTAATTCTACCTTATGAATTATGTGGTCTTTCCCATTTGTGGGGGATGAAGCCATGAAGGTGTCATGTGTCAAGTCTAGTTTATACAACAAAAAAAGTTCTAGATATGGTAAATACACATGGAACAGAATTACTAGTTCCAACTCTCCATACACACATGTTCCTAAGCAATGCCCTTGTCTCAAAGTGAGACCTAGCATTTCCCATCATAAATCTTAAGAAAAAGAAAAATGTGCCTAAATTCCAATCACAAAAAATCATGCATAACTAACATCTGTTCCACATTTTCTTTTTCCTACCACTATTTAAACTGAAACTCCATGCTCCAAAATATTACAACCAAAACTTTTAAATCTGCATATTAATATCTTATAGAGAGTGGTAAACCAAAAAATATAATGGTTGACAAAAATTGGTCATTGTTGTTACTGTTGGTGTTGAAAGTCTGTTGTTTGTAAAAAATATTCGCCATCGGCCTCGAAGATGACTGGGTGCAGTGGACTGAGGAGGAAAAGGCCGAAAAATGGGCATTCTTATTGGAGGACTCGAAGCACGTGGTGAAAACCGATGCAGGGGAGATGAGGCTGGTGAGGGGCTATGCAAGCAAATTCGCAAAGAGCCCAATACACATTGGGTTCATTAGAATGGAGCCTAAAAGTCTTTTCATCCCTCAGTACCTTGACTCTAGCCTAATCCTCTTTATCCATTGTGGTATATATCATCCTTTTATGCATTCATACTTCTGGGGTTATATATCAACTCTTTGTTTGTGTGGTACTTTTTAGTTTTTCTTAAGAAGAATTCAAACTCTCTTATTTCTAATTACATATGAGATTCAATCCTACAAAAAAGTGTTGTCAAGTTTCAAATATGTAGTTGAAGTTTGCTTTGTAGTTAGACTATAATATTAGATACAACTTTTGCAATTGCTCCTTATAATTATTACTAACATATTATGAATTGAAAATACTCTTGGACTTCCAAAGGTCAGATTGTGTATTTGTGCTCTTTCCATCTTGTGCTAGTTATTTTTTCTGTAGTAATATAAATCTTGGATTAGATATTGAACCCCATTTGGTCGCAGGTAAAGCAAAAATTGGGCACATAAACAAAGGTGAGCTTGTGGAAAGGAAGTTGAAGAAGGGTGACATATACGGAATAGAAGCTGGATCGGCCTTTTTATCTGATTAATAGAGAGAAGGGGAATATTCTTCATATAATTTGCAGCATTGATACATAAAAGAGTTTAGGGTGGCACACAATTCAGGTTAATTAAATTTTGTCAGTCTTTTTAGGGTAAAAGGAAAAAGTAAGCAAATAGATTACTCTCAGAATTTATTCTAATGGAAAGACAGTATTAAAGAATTTTCTTACACTTGTTTTACATGTGACGTGTAAATATTGGCAGTCGTTCTTCATTGCTGGAGGAACATATCCAGCATCAGTTCTTTCAGGATTTGATCACGCGACTTTGTCAGCCGCATTCAATGTAAGCTAACTTTAAATTATAGAAACTATCCTTGAGCCTTGACCTGAAGCATCTTTATTATTATTGAATCCCAAAGTGGTACAAGTAAGGTAAGTTTACACCTAATGGGGATAGTTGTAGTTTTAGTCATTAGTATTTTTTTTTTCCTTTTTTTACAATTTGACTTGAGTAAGTTTATGTACAAGTAGTTTATATTAATTGTTTATTCATAGGTCTCAGAAGCAGAACTAGGCAAGATGTTTACAAGGCAAAATCACGGCCCGATCATATACTTATCAAGCTCCCGTCACCCTAGCGTATGGTCTAAATTCCTTGAAATGAACCAACATGATAAGCTAGCGCACATGAAGAGAGTTGTCCACATAGGAAGAGAAGACATCAAATATAAATAAGAGGAGCAATCAAAATGGTCTTTTAGAAAGTTCTTGTTCTCAACCAATCAATAATAGAGGCTACAAAAAAAAAATTTCTCTCTCCTAGGGGAGCGATCTTTCTCTTTCAGAAGAGTTCTTCTCCATCTTGGGTTGGTTTCTTCTCCATCTAGGGTGGTTATGAGTGGGGTTTAGGTGAATTTCTCTCTCCTAGGGGAGCGATCTTTCTCTTTCAGAAGAGTTCTTCTCCATCTTGGGTTGGTTTCTTCTCCATCTAGGGTGGTTATGAGTGGGGTTTAGGTGCTTTTGTTTCTCCATTGCCTGCTTTTTCTTTTTCTCCTCAATTCCTCTGAAATTAGATTGGTTTGGGGATTTAGGGTTTTGCCCTGTTTCTTGTCTGTTTCTTTTCCTTCTCT